ACAATCCAGCACTCACCTGGGACAGAAACAACAAGTCTACATCGGGCCTGGATGTACTATACCTCTGCAGCTCAATTTCAGTTTCCGTAGCATGGAGGGACTAAAGGGTGGCACACGGAGACATGTAAGAGAGACTTTTGTCTCCGCAACATGTTGCATGAAATTCAGCAGTTTTGAATTCGTGCGTAATGAAGCAGGGACAAAATGACCTCCATTTTTTAATGTCGCATCATGTACACTGCTCTTGCAAACTGTCACCGCTACAACATAAGAATGAACCAATATCCGCTTGCGTACTGTCCCTGCAACATACGTCCTATGCGTATACACTAAGGGGCTTGTCCCAGCTTCACGTTCCCGCAACATGTCCCCTAGTGTGTGCCGACCTTTTCTTAACGAGTCTTTCCTTGGCTTGCAGCATTCATTGGAGCTTTCACCATTCCAAAGATTTACGACATGTACAGGGTAAGTATTCAAACTTTTTTGCTGCTGTGACAATGAAGAAAATCTAATTAATTTCTTCTTTAATGCAACAAAAATGCGATATGCCAGGCATAAATGTAAGTAAGTTGACTCGTTTCTTTTTCAACAATAATTTTTTTTTTCTGCGTGGAATCAAGCCATAGTGTTTAGGTTTTATTTTAACATAGAGAATGTATAACTAAAGTTAATATTGACAAAACCTTGTTGAGACTAGAGGTCACTTTTGTACTCTTATAAGGATATATTTACTTAATTAAAAGAAGGGAAAACGTTTATCCCTCGGCGGCCTCCACCTATTCAATGCTAGGTCAAGAGGGTATCAGTAGAGTTTTCCTTAAGTTTAAAAACTGTAGACAACTTTAAGAAGGCCGGAAGCCATTAAAGTTCACCTAATTGACGTGCGAATGCCGTAGGTATCCAATTACTGTACATACAGGTATCAAATAAGCCATTTCCAAGTTTCTTTTTACCTCTGTTTCAAACTGAGTCCTGGCGCACAACCTTTCATACGGAAATGTGCTTGATTTGCAAAGCAATGAACGTGCAAGAAAACCACATTTCAATATGAAAGGTTGTACACCAAGACTCGTTTTGAAACAGGTAAAAAGCAACTGGGACATGGCTTATTGATACCTGTAATTGGATAAGGTAAGAGCAACTCGAAAATACCCTGGGCGCCAGAGTTTTTTTCTTGCGCGGTTTCCGTTGCCGGTCATGTCTCTATTGTGACCCGCGCGGCTTCACCTCTCGCGGTTTCGCCTCTCGTGCCAGAGGCCTTCGGCTGCCGAAGCGAAGCGAAATATTTCCGTCCAGCGCGCGTGAGAAAAAAACCTCTGGTACGGAAATGGCTTATTACAAAAAGTTAAAATTGATTCCTGAAGTTGGACACCCACGTGACCGCGCACCGATTCATTGGCCAATAGGCGCGTGGAGAACCAATCACGATCGAGAATTTTGTTATAGCTACGATTATGGTACTATAATAATCACGTATATGAACTAAAGTACATGTTTCTGCTTTAATTTCTAGACGGAGATTGATTCGTGTATGGGAAAAATAAAGAGTGCTGTAGAGGACGCCACTGGCAAGTAAGTGCTTCTAAACAGTGAAGAGAAAGTTAACAAGGACAACTTTTTCTACCTACCTGAACGCAAGACACAAAGACTAAACTGCAAAGTTGTGGCTGAAACGGAGATTAGTCCACAGTCATTCTTTCAATAACGACAGCGAAGGTCTTGCGAGGTCCCAAAGGGTCCTAAAGAAACGAATACTCCATATTCACCACAAGAACCAAAGCCTTTGATTTTTATGCTGAATATACAGTATAGATACTGCGTTTAGTTGAGCAATAAAGTAAACTTTTTGCGTCCCAACAATAGTGTAGCGCGGATTAACCCTCGTACGTATAAGCTAACTCATACCTTCACCGTGGTACATGGGGGGGNGGTGGGGGGAATGTGGAAGGAACGCCCCTGTTAAGGCACAGCGAAATTACTTTGCATTGATTAGATAGCCCTGAGCTTGCTCTACAAAATGATACCATATTTGTTGGTTCGATCCGCAATCTTGGATTTTATTGTTTTCTTAAAAAGAAAAAGAAAGAGTCAAGAAATAACGGAAATTAATACAAAACTATCATTTCCTTGTCAATTACGCACGTAACTAGTTATAATCCTGTGTTGGGGTGGAGAAGGCACTGTAAGGGCAAAGTATCGATATTTTTTATCATAATTTTTTTATTTTTTTATTTTAATTAATTGCTACTTACACTGCTTACAATACAATATTAGTGTAGTTACTTACACTACTTACAAAAGACTTATTACGTACGCCACTTACGATACTAACACTCACTCTATACAATACGCATACTCGCTCTACTAACAATACTAATACTTACACTGCTTACAATACAACATAATTAGATTACTTGCGCTACTTACAATTCTAGCACAGCAAGATCATACCAGTTTACTTCTGTCAGCAATGTAAATTCCGAATTACGAATTACAGAAAATATGCATGGTATATATGCGCCTTGTTTCTTTTCCTTTCATTTTTATTTTCGTTTTCAAAAAAAAGTATCGATCTTGCACAAGAAGACAAAAAGACGATCTCAGCCAGCACTTGCAGCCACACCGCTTGATTAGAAGTCAAATGCATTGACCATTCGGCCAACGCGTCTCCGTGGTAAATAAAAGGATGATTGTTACAGATACCAGAGCTCTTCGTTTTTAAAAGACTGAAACGAACAGTTAAACAATGGAAGCTTCTGGGATGGGATTGGCGCGTAAAAGCAGAGGCATGCATTTATTAATCTTAAAAGTTGTATCATTTTTTCGTGTAGGATTACTGCAAAAGTACCGCTGACAAAGGGAAAAGAAGCTTCGACTTCTAACGACAAGGAAGTCCACGAGGATATCGACAACGATAAGAAGGCATCTTAAGTGAAACCGTTAACTACAAAATCAAATTGCTAAAAATACACAAATCATAGGATAATTCTTATAATTTGAGCCCATTGTTTTCAATTATAATATTTAATTTTTTTTATTGCTACAGTCTGGTACCCCAAAACCAAGACACATTTTGTTAATTACAGAGTAACATCGTGCTCCTTCGTCTCCGACTCCCTACACAAGGGGTCTGCGCAGTTGACGTGCTGGAATTGCAGTCACCAGTTAAAATTTTAGGCATTTCTCAGCTATCGTTAAAGTTTTCAGATCTCAGATGTTAGCTATCAGTTAAAAACACATCACTTCTCATTTGACAGTTAAAATTTGACCAATTCTTAGTTAGAAAATACCTTTTTTATTGTCAGCCTTGTTTTGGACATAACTTATGTCCCTATTTCGTTCTCGTTCCCACTGCTGATTGATATTTCCAGCCGAAAAGAACTGGCCATGTACTCAAAGATCTAATACTTCCTGTGCGAGGGCCTTTTGGAGCTTAGGTTCCAGTAGCTGGGATAATCGAATATCTCTGGGAATAAGAATATGATGAAAGTGAGGGTTTTTATCTGCTGGAAATGGTTGCTCCGACTCTTAAGTAATTTTTTTTGCTCAAACTTGAAGTTGAAATGATCGATTCAAAAGAGCCCACTTATTCAAGAAAACCCAAGAAGCCTTAGAAGTTAGTTGCACAAGTTATTTGAATCCATTTAGTACGTTAATTAAAAAAATTCTTAAATTCGTAGCCTTAGATCAAAAATCAATAAATTATAATAACGAATCCTAACATATCCATAATTATAAAATAAGGATAAAAATTGTAATTTTAATTTACTGTGTATAATCAGAAGACCAAGTGTTTACAGTCAATTAAACAAACGTCCAAACCAAACCAAACTAATTCTCTTAGTAACGTTCTCGTTGAAGTCGCCAATGCCACGTTACAGGTACTTTCCAGAGAGAATTGAGAGTACGATAGTTAATCCCCCATAGTTCTTATTCTCAAATTAATCACTCGCAAGTTATTGTAAGATCACTCTTGGTTACAGAATCCCAGGAGAGTGTGGAAATAAATAATAATGTGACGTGAATTTTACTCAGGTGGACAGCCCAAGTGACTTTGTACGTATTTTCTGAGATCCTTCGCAAAAACATCTTAGTAACGCTCTCAGAAACGTTATCTGCGGAAGGAATGGGTACTGTGTCTAAAAATAACTTGATAGGGATTTCCTTAGGCATAAGGCCTGCCAGTGGGGGATTAACTATTTTACTCTTAAGCCTCTCTTGGCACTGTTAATATCTGGTACAGCTACACCAGAACGTACCTTTTAACAACTCTTTGGACATTTTGTTATCAGTTTATTTATCAAAGATTGTTTAAGTGCAATGATGATGTAAAAAGAAAGTTATCTTATTAAAATATAGCAACGCTTGAAGCAAAAGCCAGACAAATTTGTTGTGCATTATTGTATATGTAATAGGACTTCATGCTATTCGACTTAAAAAAAGGCGGCTGAAAAAAATTCCGAGGAATGACAAGATTGGACGAGGTCACGGGCCAAGCACATATTGGCAGTCAGAGAATTTTTATAATTAAATAACTAGATAAAACCGTATTTCCTGTTAATTTTATCGCGTACAGAACTGTCCAAATTACTTGTAAATTTGGACACAAATTAGGAATTAATCTGCAGTATTAAAATGAAAAGATAGTCGTGTGTGCTTTATAGGATTTTGTGTAACAATGTAATTTATCTTTAAATGGGCTCTTTGCTCTACAATGTTCGCTATATATTAAACCAACCAGTCCTGTAAAATTCTCAGAACAACTCTGACACTGACAGGTACTTACATATACTTTATTTTGCCTCGAGCAGTTGGGGCTTGCTAGGCTCCTAGCTTAAACAGCTAACGAGTCGAGTCAAAGAAAACTTAAAATCTAACTAAAGAGAATTATATCTGTTCGTGTAATAACTTTACTTTACGTCATTGGCTAATCAAGTTATTTGTTAACTTAAACTAAGATACTAAAACATTGGATCACGTATGCTCGATAAACGTGTTTGTTGCATTTTTTCTTACAATCCCGAAAGGGTGCAGGAATAAGGAAAAATTTTATTTACGTAAACCTTAATTTTGGTTACTTATTCCACAGATTTTCGAAAGCAAACAGCTGCGCGAACAACAAAATTGTCTTGCGACCAAATTGTATCGTCCAAATCAGCCCCTGGTATTTTCCGCAGGCTAAAGTTCCAGCCATTTTTAGAGTCCGGCGAGCTCCCAAAACGGCTACATGGAAATCGACTCTAAACCAATACTAGAATCAAATCGTAGTATTATTGCTGGAATGGCCTCAGGTGCCAAAAACCTTCCGCCGACGGCGCGGTGGCATGGTACCTAAAGGCTAAAAATAAATTGATGCGGATTGGTAAGTTGCTTGTAGATGGGAACACACCCACTTTTATAACAAGAAACATTATCTGTGGGTGGGGAGGGTGGGTAATTATTTGCTTTCTAAGAAAAAAATGATCGCAGTTTAGAAATTATTTCAAACTTTCCTTGTTTGGAGAAGTACTGGGTATTTTGCGACGGCGAACACCATTTCTTTTCGTAAGATACTCTACAGACTTGAAATAATAGATGTAAGAATCGTATGCATTACCTCTCCCTAGTTGGTATTGTTGATTTTCGTGTTTAAATGGAGTGACGCCTTGGAACGATTGTTTGCAGAAACCCAGCTTGTCCCCAAAGGAAACCTGAAGTCCGATCACTCCGATTTTTCCGCCTAAAAATGCCTCCTAGAAAAGCTAAACCCAAAGCACCAGCTGCTACAGAGGTTGTAAGCAGTTCACGTTTTAAAACTCTGAAGGTGACTGAGCGCATCTCGATCAAAAATTTTGTGGAAAAACACAAGTTGAAGTTTGCAACTGGAAGGGGATTTTATCAACTATCCAAACCAGAAACGATACAGTTTCACAAAGAAGTTGTGGTCAGGAGAAAATCCGATGGAACCATGGCATCCGGAGACGAGGTACAGTAGCTAAATGATAAGAAATGGTGCTGAGTTTCATCATGGAAATATTTAGATCGCGATTAACGAACACTGAACTCTCATTGAACAGAAACGCAACTTGCTTGGTTAGCCAAACACACATCAAGCTTAAATTTAAGCTCATCAGAGCTTATACACAGGGATTTTTTTCTGAATAAATGCTTGTGGAAATCAAACCCTCCATTTGGACTATTGTAACATCGATAGCAAGAAATCGATTTTATTCTCAATCAAACGGATTATTTTTAACCACTAGGAGAAAACTTGTTGGTACATTGTAGCAGAAAACAGGTGTTAAATACTTAAGCTTAAGTCTACCAACAAGAGATTTGATGTGCTGGTGCATGTTAGCACAAACATACAAACTGAAAATCTTAAATTGTAAATTAGACATTCAGCTTAAATATGTAGTGCAAACTATAGCTTAAGCCAGATAAAGAGTCTTGAAGATTCCTGCTTTTACAGCAGGTACTGTATGTGAATCTCGAAACATGGTTGTATGTTGAACAGGTGCAATCAGGGCAGTGATTGGCAGAATGTTTATCGAGTTTTTCTTGTGGAAGGGGTAATTTGAACCCAACACCAAATTCAGAATGCCAAACACCAAATGCACTGTTTGCTTTTGGTTAGTTTCACTTGTGTTTGCTTACAGAAAGCTTTTATTTGTTGGAAAGGAGAGCATTATATTGTATTTGGCCCTTTCTAACAAATAAAAGCTAACCGCAAGCAAACACGAGTGAAATTAACCGCAAGCAAACAGCGCATTCGGTATTCAATGTTCTGCAAAATGTTTCTTTATAAGGGCTCTAACATGATGTGTTGGTACCTCTTCCTAAATCTGTAAATTTATAGTTACACAAACCCACATAGATGATAAATTATACTCACAAATGACCAGAAATGCTATTCTGAGACAGCGTTAAAACTGTATGCAACTGTAACAATATTATTTAATAAGCTTGTTCCCCTGCAGTTTTTAACTGGTTATACTTTCAAATTTTCCATATGCTGATTTCTGATTGCTTTGCTGTGCCTTTCGCTGTCTTGGATGAGCTGTTTATTCTCTATTTGTATTTGATTATATTTATATGTTGTTTGTGTTGGATATAAATAAATTAACATTGACGAAGTACAGTTTATGTTATAATTCAAATTTAAATATTTCTGGCAAACATGTGTGAAAATGTTAATTAACAAGATTTTTGTAGAATTATTTATAAAAATAACATTATAATAAATAAGTACAATGTAACTAGCAATATTTAAAGCCTCAAATTTTGTTCTTTTCAGGTTCGTGAATTGCTTGGAATTGCAAAGGAAACAACAAAATTTCACCTGGATAAGGAGAAACTGAAGGATTTTGATGTATTTGTTCAGTCAACGTCGTACAACCGTGTCTTGTTGCCAGATACAGAGTTCCTGTATGATACAGCAGAAGGCGGCACTGTCTCATCAGGGACGGCAGTGACAGCTTCAGTTGCATCAGATGACACTAAACCTGAACCCAGCACAAGCCGAGGAACTGGCAGAGGAAAGAGAAAAAAGGCAGATGAAGAGGTTATTAAGTTTATTGTTCATGTCAAGTCTCAAACCATAAGATATCATAATCAAACACAAAAGACCACCTTTGTCCACATGTCCAAACACCAAGAAGAGAGTTGAAAATACAATACATAGCAGAGTATTTTTGATGAACTTCAAGGTGTTTGCTATAAATTTGTGGTCAACACTATCTTGAGTGTTTGATATATCTTCTCAATCGAAACTAAAACTGAGACGAAAATAGAGAAATATAACATTACAAAAATCTATATATATGCAAATTAAGATCAGATATCTGAGCATCATCACACTCATGATTTATCCTTTGTTTGAACTTGATGAACTTATTCTACTAAATGAGTTTAAGAGGTTCATGTCAAGTCTTAATTCATGATGCATTGAATAATACTAACTGTAATCTAATGCCATTGAAGGGGACAGTCTTAGTTACAGCAGGACCTGCAACTACTGCCACATTTATTGTTATGGTAGTAGTGTACGCAGGCTTGTTATCATTGTAGTAAGATGTAAAATAATTATTGAGCTTGAAATACATCCTGTAACATCAAAACATTCAGAGTTTTATGTAATATATCAAACATGAGAGGCAGTGTTTCATTGGGATATCTAATCACCGAGAAGAGATTTGAAAAGAGGACATGCAGTGGAGTATTTTTGACAAAATTTGGGGTGTTTGGATAGCCGATGAAACATGCTCTCAAGTATTTGATATATCTTCTCAATGGAAATAAAAACTAAGGAGTAAACGGAGAGGTAAAATTGTCAAAATCCATTCTAATTAAGACTGGGTATTCAAACCCCCTTCACAGTTGTGATTTTCTTTGTTTTGACTTGATGAATTATTAATGTACAGAGAAGTGCATTTTCTGCACTGTTTATAACTCCAATATTTGCAAAAAAATGGTTTCCAAGTGTGAAAAGAAATACTGGCTTGATTTTGGTTCCAGTTTGCAGTCATTTTTATTGAAATGGGTGGCATTTTTCCTCATCAATCACATAATCTAAAGGTTATGAACATGTACATGAATCTTATAGAGTCTATGATACCTGATAGTAATTTTTTTGATATCTACTGATTGTAACATCATAATGTTTTACACAGTGGCCCCAGCCAGCATTTGACTCATTCAATCCTGTGATTCAGACTCCACTCACTAACTATTTTCGCCACTATGCAACTCCCTCTAATAAAGATCTCATCTGCTACTGACATAAATAAGTTTATGTTATATTTCAGAAACCTTCTGCAGTTACTGAGGAAAAGAAAGAAGAAAAAGCTCCGTCACCTGCTAAGAAAGCAAAACCAGCAACGACAGCAGGGGCAGGGGCAGCAGCTGCCACGGGAGGAGCTGATATCAAGGAAATAGTCTTCTCATTTGATACCACAGGGTCTATGTACCCCTGTCTTACTCAGGTACAAAATACCATAAAGTCCTCACAAAACAATCCCACTTAATTTATGAAAGACCCCCTTCACGACACAACACTGGTTGCCAACCTGGTTAGTGTGCTAAAATTTAACTGTACATGATTTCATTTATATTGATTTTTCTATAACATTCATGTTGTCACAAGACTAAAAATTAAGAAAAAAAAAAGATTAAAAAAACAATCTTTTCTGGCAGAAAATTGAACTTTTTCCTCTATGCCCTGTTAATTTATTTTGTCAAGAAGGAACCTTCAGTCGTTCATTTATTTAGCAAATTTTGACCTGAATTACATGTAACTAACTTTTATTTCTTGACAGTTCATAAGACATAATCTGCACTTGCCATTAGACCTCGACTGCTCTCTAAGTATGTTTCCCTATCAGTTTATAGTACACATCTATTAGTGCAAGACACATGCATGTCAGACTAGACATCTGGAGATTTATTAGTCAAGATCTAGAAAATCTTTTATTCAGTAAATAAGGCAACAAATGAAAGAGGCTTTGGCCACTAAATCATTCTTTGTGGTTACGTGTAGCAGCTTGGCCTGTGAATTGTTATTGTCTTCTTTTGTAATCCATCAAATGTTTTTCACTTGCGTGGTCTAAATGTGACTCATATGACTGAATATGCCCCACTTAAAGCTGTGGAATATCCAGGTAATATTCCCTAATTTTCAAAACTTTGCTGGTTTCAAAAATATTTGAAGGATAATAAACAAAATAGCCTGCCTTCTATATATTTGGCACGAAAATGTGCTCAGATATTGTTCAAACTGTTCCTCAAAGCTCACAGTTTTCCTCGAGCTATGCTCTCAGAAAACTGTTCACCTCTCAGAACAGATAAATATCACAGCATATTCCTGGGCCATTAATGGAGGCTTTTGTTTATACAGTGGGGTATAGTGTAAAAAGATGAAGAGAAAGCCTTAGTAGCAAGCTGATATGCCTCCCCAGACCTTCCTCTGAGCTCACTTCTCACCCCATGTCCCACTGAGGAACCTGCTCACAGGGTATATTATAAGATACCGCAACCTGCCATAAATTCTGGGGAAGTGGTGTAGAGAAACAAATGTTGCATACTTGCTTATTTAAAGAAATATTTAATTTTAGATCTTTACATAAATATTTTTTTTCTGACCAGAAAAAAAATATGAGAGGAGAATAAAAAATTAGCAAAATTGGACCAAAAAATAGAGATTGAATGTTTGAAGATCGGCAATCAGTTTTAGTAGCCTGCTTCGTGGATCCTCTTTCAGCTTGGCTGATTGGTTATCACGAATAATTTAAAATAGTTTGCTTCAAACCCAAAAACTCACGGAAAATTATTTCATTTGTTGATTTTTTAGGTCAGGAAACGTATCGAGGAAACAGTAACTCGGCTCTTCAAAGAGATTCCTGGAATTCGCATTGCTGTGTTTGCACACGGTGACTACCAGGACAAAGAGACAACTTATGACACCAAATGGGTGGACCTCAGTACAGATAAGGAGAAAATATGCAACTTCATCAAGACTGTCTCCTCAACCTGCGGTTACGATTCTGATGAGTGCTATGAGCTTGTCTTGAGACAGGTGCGTGGTATTTTGGCCTGGAGTTTGTCTGGGACGTTTATTTTATTGACAGGCAAATTGTCTCAAGTCGTATACACCTTATTCCAAAATGGCCGCCATTTTGGTGAATTCTTGCGTTTGCCTTCAAATTAACCCTTGTTGCCTCGTTCTTAAACTCGAAATTCAAAAGAATATTTTCCCTTGAACGAGGCAACAAGGGCTAATTAGCGAGCAAACAAAAGAACACTAAAATGGCGACTATTTAATGATTTTGGAATAAGGTGTATTTGATCCAGCTACAGGTTTGCCTCAAATCTGGCTATTAAATGAAACTTTTATTTTCTCCCGAAAAAACGTGCGTTCTGACTTTCGTCAGTTTATGAAGCTTTAAAAATTATTTCACGTTCACTTACAATGCGTTTGATATTACCTGTACAAGCGAAAATTGAGCAAAACTTAGCTTACCTTAGTTTTGTTCCAAAACTTTCTTTTGCGGCTTCTTTGCAATGACGTTTCAAGTGCGTGCAGCGACTGATGCACGTGCATTCCAGTGAAAACGCGTTTAGCATAAATTATTTCGTGGAAAGTGACATACCAGCATTTAATGAGAGAAAAATTAGAGGAAGAAAGAAAGAAAGAACTGAGGAAAGAAATGAATAAGGCCTCAGGCGCCGTCCACACGGAGAAATTTAAGAATGCAGCTTTATTTCTATGGCTAGGCTTACCGTCCACACTAATTCGTCACGAAAACGGAGCTTTTCGAAAACGTTCTTCAAACCGGAGGAATTCCAAAACGGCGGTTTTGGGTTTTAATGTTGAGGCAAAACATTTTGAAATTGGAGTTTTTCAAAAACGATGGGGTTACGATAAATATATTTTCCTCCCCGAATTTTACTCAAACACAAATCCAAAATGACCGGTGATTGTTGCGTTTTCAAATTTTTCCAGCCTAGTATGGACGGAAACATTTGATGTTTTGTCGGAGTGAAATCTCCGTTTTCAAATCCCTCTGGCGTAGTGTGGACGCAGCCTTAGTCAAAAGTGCTGTTGAAGACCTAAAAAGATGATTGCCAGTTGGTCGTGTCAACCTTTTCGAGTTAAGAAAGTACCGACATCAAATTTCACCCAACATTTTGTTCAAAAAGTGATTGACGGATTAAAGTTTTTAGCACCGAAAAGTTCAATTTTCAGCACAGTACGTTTTAGTTCATAGGTTATCGAGTAAGGACGGCGAAACAGGATTTTTTTTTAATACAAACAAAGGTTAAAGGAAAAAGTCTTCATAAGAAGACAGTCAGTTCCTTTTTTCTCCTTTTTCAATGGTTGTTTGTTAGGTGGCGCGAAAGGCGAAACAGTGTTTTAAATGGGTACTCGGTGAAATCAAGGTTGTTTATCATTAATTGCCGAAAAAAAAAAGAAATTTCGGTTGGGATGTAAATGGTAAGTCTCTTTTAGTTTTCCCAAAAGGAAAATTTCCAAAATAAAGGGAACGACATGAAAGGTAGTACAAAATTCCCTAACGGAAAATGTGAGTGCCATTTGCTTTTATCCCGTATACGTGTATACTCTGCCCAGTTCCAGGCGCCCCAAGTAAATTCTGGTAAAGGAACACGCCAAAGTTAATTCGAAATTCCCATTCAGGGTTTTTGCTCACCATTTGCCTAAACTTTGAACCAAGCCATATTTGAAGTTGAGGTGAACAATGGCACTCCCATGGCGGTCAACAACTTTATTTTTTCAGACTAACTCGTTAGCCAGGAAAATTTCAGATAATCCATTCCAACCCAGTATGCTGATGATGTTTCCATTCTTTCTTATGTTGAAATTCTCGAGTTTCCTCCTAGGTCCGTGAAGAACTTTCCTGGACACCAGACTCTCAGCGTTCGTTGGTGATGCTGGGTGATGCCTCGCCCCACCCCCCTTCGTACCACTTAAACAAACTCAAGATAAACTGGCGCGAAGAAGCTAAGAAACTCTACAACGAGATGGGAGTGCGTATATACTCTGTACAATGCCTTAACTATGGCGGATCAGATACATTTTACCGCCAACTCGCTGAGCTCACATGTGGATGGCATTTGAAGCTGGACCAGTTTGCTTCCATCGTGGATTTCCTGACTGCCATTTGTTATCGTGAACAGGGCGTGGAACATTTGGAAGCGTTTGAAGCAGAGGTCAAAGCGAGGTCAAAGGGCTCTGGGTTGAATCGTAACATGCACTCGCTTTTTGACACCCTGGCTGGGAGGAGCACCAGTACCTACACGGGCGGAACAGACTACGGGGGACTGGTACCGGTCAATCCCTCACGATTTCAGGTCAGTGACGTCATAATCTGGTGACGTCAACGACATAACTGCGCAACATTTTATTGAAAACAACCAAACTTCGTAGAGAAATACCAGTTATGCGATGCTTTCGAGCGGTATATCGTTGAATATCCCACGAGTCAATAATTTATTGTTGCCATAATGTTTGCAGCATCTCTCTCAGCTCTCATATACAGTCATGGAGGCTTTCTTTTTGTGTCAATACTTGTAATAGCCTTCCAGAAAAATAAAGTCTGGTTAGGGGCCTGTTCAAACGTCGAACTACACATGAGACGAATAAAACGGAGCGAATTAAGTTTATGATAAGATCGGCGCTTGACTTAACTGAGTTCGTCCGAATTAAGTTCGACGTTTGACCCAGCGGTCAAGCTTTACCCATTTAGATCGACTCAGATTTCAATTTAGTTCATTTCATAATAAGTTCGGCGTTCGATCTTGGCCTAAGATGCTTATTATCTTTATCTTTCTTTGCCAGATCCTGGACGTCGATGAACGCTGTGATATTCGCACTTTCGTCGAGAAGAACGACCTCCCGTTCAAAGCAGGGCGTGGATTTTATGAGTTCACCAAACCAGAGAAGGTATCGGACAAGAAAGAAGTCGTTTTGGTGGACAAAGTCTCCGGTGACATGTTCACTGGGCCCGAGGCATGTGACATGATCGGCGCTGGAGGAGCAAGTAAAATCAAGCCTGCTTCGTTTGAAAAATGGCGCGTGTTTGTGCAGAGTACGTCATATAATCGGGTTCTTATGCCCGATACCGGCTTCTTGTACGAAGTGGACACCAGTCGATAATTTCTATGATTGACAGTTTAGCCCTCGTCCACGCTAAGTCGGAGGAATTGAAAACGAAGGTTTCTCTCTGAAAACGCATCAAATGTTTCCGTCCACACTACGTCGGAGGAATTTGAAAACGCATCAATCACCGGTTATTTTGGATTTGTGTTTGAGGAAAACTCGGTCAGGGAAATCACGTGATTATCGTGACGTCATCGTTTTCGAAAAGTTCCGTTTTCAAAATGGTTTCTGTCGACACTGTACAGAAGCCGGCGTTTTCAAATTCCTCCGGTTTGAAGAGCGTTTTTGAAAAGCTCCGTTTTCGTGACGGATTAGAGTGGACGGTAGGCCAAACCGTAGAAATAAAGCTGCGTTTTCAAATTCCTCCGGGGTAGTGTGGACTGGGCCTTAGAATATTAGAAGGAAGACACCTTATGTCACGCAAGGCGAGGGATAAGAAAAGTCCTGCAATTTTAGGCAATTATGTCACGTTAGTTCATGTGTATTTTATCCACAATTGTGTTCGGTACAGACTGGTGTTTTGAAGGCGCGACTAAACGAGAATGACGCTGGGGCGGATACAGGATTTTAGAGACGGGGTTCGAGATCCCCCCGCAGAAGGCGGGGGTCCGGTGGCATCCACTCCCGGAAAAGTTTGAAATTGAGGTCCCAGGAAATTGGATTTCTGGCATTCTGAGGCCAAATTAGCGTGTTATGTCTAAGTTTTTTTTTTTTTTTTTTCTTTTAAATTTAGGGGGTTCGACCAAACCTACCCCTAGATCCGCCCCAGTGACAGTTCATAATAGTTTTTTTTAGCTCTCGTGTACGTAGTTATAAAACAGGCTGAGATCGAGAATACGCGAGTTGTCTTTATCTTGAAAAAATGAAACAGGTTTACCGAGTCGCCACGTGTGTTTCCGAGGGCGCACGAGACTCGACGAGGGTCGTCGAGAGTCGACAATTCAGGACCGAGAATTGAAACATTTGTCAACTTTCGTTGCAGTTTTAAACCCTACATATGACCAGATTCCTAGTTATTAGAGTAAATATGAACACAATTTCAGTCCACTAGCAATCAACAATTGTCAACTTTCGTTGCAGTTTTAAACTCTCCACATGACCAGATTTTGTTATTAGAATAAATATTAAGGCAATTTCAGTTCACTAGCAATCAACAATTGTCAACTTTTGTTGCAGTTTTCAAGCCTCCACGTGACCAGATTTTTAGGTATTAGAATAAATATTAAGGAAATTTCAGTCCACCAGCAATCAAGACTCTAAAATAGTAGAGAACAATGATGTGAAGTTTTGAAATGAAAAAGTTCAGTGAAAAGTTGTAACTTACTCCTCAAAAAGGGTCACCATTCATCTCTACTGTTTTTAGTTCGAAATATTTGTCAGTAGATTACAATGAAGTATCTTCTCTCGACCTATTGCGTTCTTGGGTTTTGTTGTTTGGAAGGTATACATAATGCTAACTTTAGAATTTCGATCATAAATTCAACTCACATTGACTTGGGACTCTAAAAGACAAGGAGTCTGTTTGTCGATCTTGCAGTCTTCACAGTAGAATTAGAATAAACTTGAAAATCATTTAACAGAATGCAATACTTACAATCCTTGTTATGGATTTAATAGCTCACACACGTCTTTATTGCAGAAATAGAAGAAAACTTAAAATTCAAAATGTATCACCATTTTGCACGATACGACATTGTTGTGGAGTTTGCTGTTCACAACCTAGTCCCCAGGGCCTTCTCCACTTTTCAAAAAGGCCGCCATTTTTAAAATGGTCCAGGGGAAGGCCCTGGGGATGAGGTTGTGGTGCTCGTTCTTCACACACTGGGAAAGATTTGGTTTGGACCCATTGGTTGACGGGAAGGCTGAGCGGCTTAGATTTCGTCTACTTATAGGGGGAGGGATTCATGCTGACGTCATTGTTTACATTTTTGCTCATTTGCATAGAGCTTTGCGTAGAGGAAACATGTTAGATATGAATTGACTCCAGGCAGCTAAAGAGCTAGTGAAACGTAATACATGGTGAAATGTTGAGCTCTTTGGGTGTAACATTCAAGGAGATATTGTTCAAAAACTGCAAATTTTCTGGGTGGCAAAAGCGCTAATGAGCTCATACATTCTTTAAAATTTTGAGTTTTTAAACCCGTGTTGCACAAAAAGTATGCAATACATCAGGCTCATATATATTCATTGGCAGAGATAATCGTACTATGACCTTTCGATGCTCACAACTAATTTATTTGTAGCTCCATCAGAAACTAAATTGCTTATGCTAATGAGATCAGTTACAGTGTTTTTGTCATTTTGGCCACGTACAAAACTAAATTAAAATTGAAGGAATCTGAAAATAATAGTCTGCTAAGATAGAAAAACACCAAAGAGATAATACTAAACCATAAAGGAACAAGGATGGTTTAGGATGGAGAAGACAGACAGAGATAATAAACGACGAACTTGAAAAACTTAGGCTAACTTTTCAAGATGCACAAACCGTAATGTTTAGCGCAAACGTTTCACAAGGTAGAACAAATTTCTGCTTTTCGTAGAAAACAAACACGACGCTACCGCGCCATTCAAGGAGGGATGCATGTTTATAATCCTTATAAATAATGCACACCAGTGGAACTCTCCAAATTGAAAATACAGATTTATTTACAGCCTCTTTGGATAAGCTCAGATAATATACAATTCGGTTCAAAAGCTGTTTGGATACCAACTCGAGCACTTAAGTTTTAGTCCACAATTTCTATATCGAGTTTGGCTATTTACATGTGCAGCTGAATAAAAAAAATTCGGCTAATAACAAAAAAGAAAGCAAGAAGTAGTTTTTAACTCTCAGTCTTTCAAAAAGTCCGTAACACTCGCACGAAGAGAAAATGGAAACTTCTCTCCAAAATCCTAATTCACGGTCATGGGTGGTAACCTCGATCCAGAGGGCGGTCGAGAATTGATGACGGTCTCCATATCTTTTATTTGGACGCGCAATTTTCTAATCTCGACTTTCTGCATATCAATCATCTTTTCCATCTCTAAATTTTCGTCGGACATGTTGCGTTTGTTCTCCGAGTTGCTAGGGTCCTCATCTTCGGGGAATTGCTGTTGTTTGCGCATGACACCTAACGCGGTTTCCAGGTCATGCACTTGAGTGCGGGCGATTTTGAGCTCGCGTCTGAGGTCGTTTATCTCTTTGATGAGAGTAACGTTTTCCTACAAGAAAAATTAGCGTTAGAAGAGAAAATAGAATACTTTTAACTCAGTGAAACAGAAGATTTCCTGGTGATTAATAGCTAAATTTACGTAATCAACTTACGTCGAAATTAGTGTTGTTGGTGCTTCAATGCGAGAATCGAAAGTTAAACAAGCAAGAAAAGCAAGTGGTTTCTTAGATTCTCAATAAAACGCAAGATGAACGCGAGGAAAACGCGAGTCGAACGCAACGACACTAAACAACGGCCAACAAAGCAGACTGCATTTCAGATGAAAATCTATCACGCTAACGGCTCAATTCCCCACCTGCATAATTCTGACGTTATCTGCTCTGTGGATCTCGGAATCCTTGGCAAGCTTCTTTCTCAAGGACGCTACACTTCTCTCCAGATGTTCTCTCTGACGCGCGTACTCTCTTTGAATGTCCGCGTCCACGCCAGCAGAATCCAGCTAAAAATACGACAAAATTACCAGGTGAACAGGCAAAAGATCGCACAAGATTTCATTGAGGTGGCGACTCGTGTGTACATGGTCTAATGTAGTAACGAAAATGAGATTGAGAGAAACGAGTTTTCCCACCCTTAATACTGGCCAGACGACGCTTGGCCCCCTTAATGGAATACACGTTTCCCGCCTTGTTACAGGTTCCATGTTTCCCCGCGCTTGGCACCGGTTATACGTTTTCCCGCGCTTAGCACCGGTTGCATTTTTTCGCGCATTTAGCACCAGTTGTATGACGCGTGGGACCAGTTAATTGTTTCCCGCGCTTGCACCGGTTGCATGTTTTGCTTTGGGTTGTGATTGGTTCATTGGTTTATGTCTCTTTGTGTTGATTGGTCAGACTCAATTACGTTGGTCCTGGTTTCACGACAATCATCAGCAGGGCCGTTGCTAGTAACACGCAAGAGGAAGCGCTTGCCTCGGACATGTTTTTTTTTTCGTTTTTGTTGTTTGTTGTCATCGTAAACACCCTAAATACCTAGGTAGGGAATCTTACCATGGACAGTAAGTCTGTCATATTTTTTTCACGGACATTGCCTCAGTTAAAACTTTTTGTTTCAGGCTACAGCCCTGATCAGAGGAGCGTTCTAAATTGAGAAGAATTTCGAGGTACTTACCGATTCATCCTGGACATATTTTTGATATAAAGACTTGACATTCTCCTTCAGTTTCTTCGGTTCTTGTATAAAGCCAACGCAGTTGTGGAGGTCAGTTTTAAATCTCTTCACAATAGCTTCGACATCACCAACCTAAGATTAAATACGAAAACATAATTAGAGAGTAGAAAATAATAGAGAAACTGAGGAGAAAAAAAAAAAAAAAACAGAAGAGAAAATTAATGGCAAACCAAACATTCATGTCACACGACAAATATCTAGACTTTCTACCAAGAAGAAATTAAAAAACCAAAACAAAACAAAAGCTTTCATCTGAAAGCTCAAGCGAACAACATTTCTTATCCACAAACACAGAACTTTATCTTAACTTTTAAAAACGGAAAATTCCCGATGGGCGGTAAAGATCAAAATAAACGGAACACAGGTAGAGAATTGTAACAACCATGAAAAGTAAAGAAGTGAAACAAAAGCAGAGAGAGGAAAAACCTAATGAAGAACTGCAATGGCGATCAGTGACGTTGTTTACCCTTTGCCTTTGAGAGTGCATTTCTTTGTCGGTAGCCTTCAGTTTAAGTCTAAGCTCGGTGATGTTCAACTCCAAGCTCGTGTTTTGCTTGTGAAACCGTTCAAGCTCACTCTCCATCTGTTGAAAAATAGAAAGGAAAAAAAAATTAAGTTAGCGCACTTCTTCCTTAAATATCATGCAACCGAAACTGTTCCCATAGGTTGCAAAGTTTGCTTTCTTTGTAACTACAACTGCAAGATCTCCTTTCGCCGGCACAATAAACCTGGTTGTTCAAATATGACGACACAGTCAGCCGCAATGTTATGCACGCACGCACGCGCGCGCAAAGCAACTTTATTTTGATAGCCAAAATCTCATGCCCTCTCAAGATTTTCTAGAGTTAGTTAAGAATCTACTTAAAATTTTACATTTTGATTGTGTCCGTTTAATATGCTAATTCAAGCAGAGATTGTATCTTCTCGGTTACCACGCAAGATACAAAATCAAAACCAATCATGACAACATGAATTTTCTCACCCTTGCTATCCGTGACATTTTTTCCTCACGCACAACACTTTACGTGTTTTCTAGCGCATGAAACCCCCTCCGTGCTTCTCTCCCTTGCCTCCAGTTAATCATTTTACTTTGACTTATGATTGTTTTGAATTCTTACAAATTTTGGCGCTGCGATATTTCGCATCATGAATAGTTTCGTTTTCGCGTTACTTCAGTCTTCATCTGGCTCCGATCAGAGCTGTTCACGTGAAAAAATACGGGCTTGATTTTGGCTTACCTCTTGTATTTGTTCTTTCATGGCTTTAATGTCATTCTCTCTGGGCTCTATTTGTTTTTTCAGCTCCTTTATTTTGTAGTCCAAAACAAACTTGAATTTCTCAAGCTCTTGATTCTTCTTCTTTAAATCATATATTCGTTTTTCCTAGGGAGAGATTGGCAGCTTTAATCAGTGATAAGTTTAACCGCTTCTAATACAAAGCAATCAATCAATCAATCAATCAATCAATCAATCAATCAATTAGTCGATCAATCAATCAGTCAGGTAATCAATCAATTAATAAGTCAGCTTCTCATTCATTCATTCATTCATTCATTCGTTCGTTCGTTCGTTCATTCGTTCATTCATTCATACAGTCAGTCAGTCAGTCAGTCAGTCAGTCAAACAGAGAGTCAGACAGTACGTCAGTCTGACAATCAGACAGTCCGTCAGTCAGTCGGTCGGTCGGTCGGTAGGCTCGATTACCAGCCGCTGTTCGGGAAAAGAGCCCGCGCTCCTCCCCCGAACTCATCTCGGGGAGGAACGTAGACCGCACTCGAGAAAGCGGCGGAAATCGAGCCTAGTCGGTCGGTCGGTCGGTCAGTCAATCAGATAGACAGACAGACAGTCAGACAAGCAGAAAAAACAAGCAGGACCGCTATTGTACCTTATCCTGTATGGTTTCGTCTCGTTCCTGGATCTCTTTCTTCAGTCCATAGATGTCTTTCTCTAGAGACTTGATCACTCCTTGCAGTTTGTTGTTCTCGTTCTGCTGCCGTTGTATTTCAGCTTTGTAATCGTCGATCTCCTTCTGAAGGCTTGTAAACTAACCAGGAAGAACTAGTGAGACAATCTCAGATAGTGCAGAGCGCAATTGATAGCTCTGATACAGTAGTCCCATAAGTACTCACCCCTGCTCGGTTCACTTCCGGTT